GATATGATAAAACGCGAGTTCGAGTGTTTTGAATAGCTTAAAATACGACTACAAAAGAATACTAATTAGGATGAACAATTATATAATCATACTAATTAGGATGAACAATTATATAAAGAATACTAATGAAGATGAGTTTTATCAGATATCACTCCACGTGACATTATGGCTGACATGATTTGCCACAAGGTGACAAGGTTTATACATTTTTAATGAGTATTTTAAATAGTAGTAATTTTTATAAATTTTCGACATCTTTCTCAAGTTCTTTAGCCAAAACGATGTATTTTGTAAAAGGATGTGCTATTGTCGGTATATGGGATAAATCTAGTATTACATAAAAAAAACTATAGACAAGGATCGTCCATTACAATGCAGTCAATGGTGAATAATAATGTAATGTAAATGCGATCGACGATATTATTGTGTCAGTCGGCTTGCTTCACATTTTGAAATGCACTACAGCGTCAACGACAAAAACCACAGCAGAAATAAGACCACATACCTACGTGGAAAAAAACATTCAAATAATGCATGCATTTGTATATGTTTCAGTAATTTTTATGCGTACAAGAGGATGGTGGTCATCTCTCTCATGCAGTCTTCCATTTATCACCAAATATACCACTGTAGACTATACCACAAAGAAACAGGTTGACCACCCTCTGCTGCATGCATGATATTGCTTTATAGTAATATTCACCTATATATAATAGAGAGATTCTGATTTGACTTCCACTATCGCTACCTGCATGCACTGCCACTATCACCCCCTCATCATCTTATCGGCAAAATAACGGATTTATCGGCAAATTGTTTTCGTAGCTAGTTAGTGAAAATATTGAAGTGGCTCGGATTGAAAAGTAATAGTTATAGCAAAAATTTTGCATTAGCCTCTTCGCTACGGCCCTGGCTACCAAGTACCTCTTACAGGCTCAATACACATCTGATTGGGTGATCGGATATATCAAACGCATCTGATTGGTTTATGGTCCCTTAATGGTAGCGGTAGTGGAAATCAAATCTGAACCTCTCCAATAAGTATTGTGGCACTTACCACTCCAATAAGGAGTTGTTTACACTGAGATTTTGTCCCACCTAAATCCAAAAGATCGCAAAAGTTATCATCTTTGTAAGATTTATAAGCTTCTGCTAACATTGCTGATGCGACCAGCAAGAGAATTCCCATCAGGAAAAATACGCCAGTTGCCTAACAAAGATAGAATATATAGAACAAATTATTATATGTTAGTTGCTCAATAAGTTTTAAACTATTCTCAGTTCTAGAGGCCCAGTAAGGATCACAACCTCGTTCCAACGCTACAAGACCCTGAGAACGAGGTTGTATGCAACCCAGCACTCAACCTGCGAACGGGCATCTGGGTACGAGATCTTTGCTTTCAGTTCTAAACTGCTTTCCCCCAGAGGTCCAGTAAGAGCCATCCCTTGTGGTCCATCAAATAAGCAATAGGGAGCTTAAGATACACCAAATCTACGACGCGGACGTGACGAAAAACTGCCGATATTATCACAGTTTTACTTCACGGGTAAAAACTATTGATTGTTGTTGGTAAACAAAGCCAGTAAAATTAGTTTCCCATTATTAGCGACTGTTTTTTAGAGCTCTATATGAATAACCGAAGGAGCTATCCAGTAGAAATAAAGTTAGTTTAGCTTTTCTCCTGATGTAATTACCACTGGATCAGTAAGGAATGGTTCTTACTATCATATTGGAGCTCTAGGAATAATCAAAGGAGAGCTATCCAGTAGAAATAAAGTTAGTTATATTACCGTTTTCGTCCACACAATCTTGACTTTCTTGTGGATTCCAGTAAGAAATATCATAAAGAAAACGATCACAACTACAGCCGCTATTCCAACAGCTGCCAGAAAGAATTTTATTCTATCTTTCTTCTCGTAGTCACCGTCCGATCCTTCTTTATAGAAGTAGCCCACCGCACCAGCAGCGATCGCTAAGAAAACCTTTATAGAGAAAACAAAACTCGTATCATATGTTGGAGTGTGTAGTTCACACAGATGTACATAACATCAAAACACACACAAAAAATATTATGCATGATCATAGAAAACATTGGTATCGAAGGTACTAGACTTAGTTCCGAAATACCACACACTCGAACAGACTTGACCTCTAGCTCAGTTGGCAGAGCATCGGACTATAGTGAGGGCCCCCTATACTTTTTGCGTGAAGCGTGATGGGCTTATTTTACTTAGCCGTGAAACGTGATCGATGATTTTCTTAATCCGTGCATGATTCGTGATGGTATATGACTTCCAATCTTTTTACGTGCACGTGAAGGAAAGATTCGATTTAACCGTGACCCGTGAATGGCAGATAGAAATATTCGTGATTCGTGAATCTTCTGTTTTGTGACCTTTTGTGTGATCAGCTTTCCAAGGAATAAATACGGTTTGTTGCTGTTTTTTGAAGTACTTGATGTACAGAAGCCTGTTTTCGACATAGTTGGAGGTTTGAAAGCATGTCGAGGTAAGTACAGACGAGTACAATGATTCTACAATTAAGGAAGACATCCATATAATAATTCGTGAATTTTGTTTTATTTACGTGAATCGTGATCGCTTCAATTTTTCCGTGAACGTGAAGGAATTTTTTCAATTTTTCGTGACTCGTGAAAAGGCAAAATATTTTACGTGAAAGCATATTGTGAAGAGGTATAGGGGGCCCTCTATAGTATCCCAAAGGTCGTGGGTCCGATTCCCACCGTGGGCATGGTAATTTTTCAGCCTGCCCAGTGTGGGTATACACTCAGAGTAAAAAACATATTCACCTGAGTGCATAACATCAAAACACACACAAAAAATATTACGTCAGTCTGTTACGAACAATATCAGTGGCGGCGGAACATGGAGCCAGGCCTTATAACTTATTTCCAGAAATTGACCAACATATAAAAACATTTTGTCGGAATTGTTGGCCACAATGGAGTTAGTTAACACTTGACAACAGAGAATACAAACAATCCTACCAGTTCAACCATCTTTAGAAGACCACCAAGGGATTTAACATATGCCAATCCTTTACCAACTTCACCCATATTGAATCTGCAATGAAATCGATTAGCTCTTAATTCCCACGCTCAGTTTATCCGCCCTTTTGGGGTGCTGCCTCTTCCAAGAGAGAGTAAGTACTGCGAAATAGGACATTTTACCACTGTAGTGATGTGTATAATGGTAAATGTACAGTTACAACTTTGAAAAGTCGCTTTTCACATTCTTTTAATAGCCTGTAGATTCTTTGTCGAGCGAAGACAGTACCCCCCCCCCCCAAAAAAAAAAATGGTGGATATTGGCCCACGCGAGAAAAGCTAATTTAAGTTCTCATGTAGTGGAACCACCGAGTGGAACAAATTAATTCATATATATGCCATGCCTAATGCGCCATGTTGGACTGTATGCCAATTTTACTAGATAACTCGCATACCAGCACTTGTGGATGGTGTCGTGGTGACCATGCTTGCCTTTAAATCTGGGAGACCCAGGTTCAATTCTTAGTATACTCAAAGTCTTAAAATGCTTGAAGAGAAAGTGCTGCCTTTACATTGACATCAGTCAATGGTTAGAAACTCGATAAACTGAGAACTGTTTAACGCCAAATAATTCTAATCGTCAATCGTTACATTTAATTAAAGGAGTGGCCGAATACCATACATGTTTATGCCAGTGCTGCATAAAGGATTAAAGCTAGTACTGGTTACATATATGTCAATTTAGCAGTCCGGAATTAAGCCCTATATGAACTCCGAGATAGACTAGATAGTGAGCAAAAATATATAGATATATATTATTGTATCGGCCAATATTTATCATTTTGTATAATAAATATGAGAGTAATGGCTTTGTTAAAAGTTATATGTTGGGCTCTCATATTTATTATACGAATTCGTTTTCCGCCTGGCAAATCTCTGGCAACGATATTGAATTTATCATTTTGCCTTTCATGTCAGTTGAAGTGTGGATTAAAATGACTGTTGGTTAAACTCCCATACATAAAAATATAGAAAAGAGAACTGGACTTACCACGGTTGTTTAACAAGTTTGTCTTTATTTACAATGCTCAGTTGCACTGGTTGTTTGCTCGTCCAGTCTATACTGCAGCGGTATAAGACTATAAGTTGCTAACATATGATACAGAAACGTGTTGGATTGAGTATATTAGGAAAGAATCGCCATTTATAGTAAAGTGGTAGGATCAATGACTCGACAGTCTGGCTATAATTTAAATGAGGCATCTTGAGACTTAACCCATTATGGCATTGCATACATTGTATTTGGGTATTTTCCCACATACTTTACGATATTGGCATTCAGGATTAATATTATATCATATACCCCAACAGCTAAATAGACTATTTTGGATAACTAATTAGTCTAAGTACAGTCCTGACCAGCTCTGATACAAACGAAATAATTGGAACGCAAAAACGATCAAAACACAGCATACCCTAACAGCTGAATAGACTATTTCGGATAAAATTAGTCTAATTAAAACACATCAATCACAAAACCACTCGACATATAGCAGTACACGCGTAAAAACTTGTCAACAGGATGTGTTTGCAACAGGCTTGTAGCAAGCTTGTCAACAAGTTGTAACAATGATGTTACTTTATCAAGTTGCTACAAGGTTATCACTCACAACTTGTTGAATTGCAGGACGATAACAAGATGTTGGAACAACTTGTAACAAGTCTGTTGAGTTCAACAACCTTCTGGCAAGTTGTCAACAAGTTGTAACAATGCTGTCATTTTATCAAGTTGCTACAAGGTTGTCATACAACTTGTTAACAAGTCTGTTGAGTCCAGCTATCTAAAATAGCGGTGCTCAACAAGCCATTGACAACTTGTCCACAAGCTGGGAACAAGCAGTGCGAACACAACCCCATGTTGAAACAGCACGATACAAGTCTATTTGTTACAAATTGTGTATTTACTTGTCTAGTTGATGTTGTATAGTGGTTTGCGGTACCAGAAATGCAAAGAAATACATTCAGACGGCTCATTGTTGACATCTAAGTGAGTGTCCACCTGATATTCAGGCTAAATCAAAAGCCTATCCTAAATCCTATATTGTGCACGAAACATGAGAAAATAGCCACATCATAGAATAAAGATTCATATAGAAGGGCCACTTACGTCGGAAGCTTTGAAGTTTCTGTCCTCGCGCATGTCGCATTACGCATGTTGGCCGCCATTTTCCTAGCCAGTCAATGACATTTTCTGGCCAATAAACACACTGTACTGGCTGGCTGCTCCGCCTCCTGGCCAGTAAACTGCATATTTTTGCATAAAAAAACGAGGACATGTTGCACCGCTGAGTGGCCCTTCTGTTACTGATCTTTATTCTGTGCCGTACAGTATCCAAAAGGAACGCGGATATGGTCCAAAAAACTTTTTCAGCCTTTTTTAAGTCATATCCGCGTTTTATCCAAAAGGATAAAACGCGGATATGGTCCAAAAAACGTTTTTCAGCCTTTTTTAAGCCATATCCGGGTTTAATCCAAAAGGGTATCCAAAAGGATAAAACGCGGATATGGTCCAAAAAACGTTTTTCAGCCCTTTTTAAGTCATATCCGCGTTTTATCCAAAAGGGTATCCAAAAGGATAAAACGCGGATATGGTCCAAAAAACTTTTTCAGCCTTTTTTTGAGTCGTATCCACGTTTTATCCAAAGGGATAAAAGTAATGTATTTGGTGTATCTTGCACAATTCAGTCCAAATTTAAAACTTCCTGGTATTGGTAAGATGAAACAAAACAGCAAGTTCATTTTATTTCATTTAGAAACAGACGAATAGATCCCTGATGCTAAATCCATAATTATCAGTTAAAATTATCTGTGCATGGAATATAAAGTGCGCAAATTATCAAGCAGAAATCTAAAACTCGTATAATAGAATTCTCCCAAGTCTCCTTTCCACGGGCAAATGAACTAATTTTCACTTCAAGTTTAAATGTAATGAAATAGAATGGTATTTGGTGGCTCGATGCCGCTTTTTAAATAAATGGAAAATGTTCCACTTAGATCCGTATTTTTGGCATGAAAGCGAAAGAGTTCGATACTTATAAAAAAACACCAGATTTTGCAATTTTGCACAAAAGATACAGAACTATCGTTGTTATGGTAACAATAACGTTTCAAGATAGCGGATATTTCGATTTAAAGTAATTTAAGGTGGCTCGCTACAGTTTATAGAAACGTTGAAAATGCGTAATCTAGATCACCTTTTTGAAGAGATGATGCTCTTTACAAATCGAAATTTGTATATTATATATACAGCGACAATCAAACAGTCGAAAATTGGTCAGAAAAGTGACGTCACCACTGTTGCTATGGCAACAATGACGATTCAAGATGGCCGATATTTTGGCTTTGAACGCATTTTACTTTAAAAAAGGTCGGTTATCCCATTTTTTATTTCAGAAAACATTTTCTTATAGTACAATACACTATCTGACCAATTTAAAAAAAATTCTGTAATGCCAATTTTTTTAAAAATTTATAAACATGGTTTTTCAAAATAAATTTTTTTTGCATTACAGAATTTTTTTTAAAATTGGTCAGATAGTGCATTGCACTATAAGAAAATGTTTTCTGAAATAAAAAATGGGGGTAACCGACCTTTTTTTAAAGTAAGATGCGTTCAAAGCCAAAATATCGGCCATCTTGAATCGTCATTGTTGCCGTAGCGACAGTGGTGACGTCACTTTTCTGACCAATTTTCGACTGTTTGATTGTCGCTGTATATATAATATACAAATTTCGATTTGTAAAGAGCATCATCTCTTCAAAAAAGTGATCTAGTTTACGCATTTTCAACATTTCTATAAACTGTAGCGAGCCACCTTAACTCGAAAACGAAACCATAAATTTTCCATTTTTTTAAAAACTGTATCTGATTGAGCCACCTTAACTAACTAGTTTCCACAGATATCTATAGAGTTTAACTGCCGTAGTAGAGCAGTATAATTGTCAAATACGTATGCCACATTGTCTTAAATATGATATGTGGGTCGCCGTGAGCTGAGATTCTACCCAGTGTGCTACAGTTACTATACTAGGATGAAAATATGGTTGTTTTGAGGAAATGCATTTATTGTTTATATGAAAATAAACATTTCCCTCTTTATTTACTTTTTCCTTGGTGATAGGGTGGTTGAAGCTTCTTAACATTCTTGACACGATGACAATGTCAAGTGGTGCATCTGGAATGCGATTGGCGGGTTTCAGTGTCTGGGAACAGCCGAAACAAACTCTCACTGCTGGAGGACAAAATTGCAGAAGATGCACTTCGAATGCTCCTTTCGATGGCTGTGGTGTGAACGAATGTTGGCCTTGTAGCCTGGATAAAGTTGGTAGTTGTTGAAGTTGGTAAGGAAATGCTGTGTACTGAGCTTGCACAGCTTGTTGTGGTAGTGTAGGTGCTGGATAATGAGCTTGCACAGCTTGTTGTGGTAGTGTAGGTGCTGGATAATGAGCTTGCACAGCTTGTTGTTGTACCGAAGATGGTGAATACTGTGCTTGCCATGCTGGCTGTGTTGATCGAGGTGTTGAATGCTGAGCTTGCGCTGCTTGTTGTGGCAATGTAGCAACTGAATACCGAGTTTCCACCATTTGATGTGGTAATACTGGAACTGCAGAAGGTTGTAATAAATTCTGTTGTTGCCTTGGTTCGTTACTGGGACTAGTAGAACTGGTTACGTTGAACGGTCTGTCTACGACATTAGTGACAGGGGGTACTCTACTACTTCTGTTTCCTTTTCTCCTAACCGTAGAAGCCTGACATTTCTTTTTCCCAGTATCTTTGTTACTGTCATAAGTAATATACGAGGTTAGATTCATTGTCTTTGGACCATTTTTAGAAAGCCATTTAATGTACTTTTCTAACACGCCTGCCTTCTCGGACGCAGCAATTGCATGTGCGCATAATTTTGCGGATGTAAAAGATGGACATCCATCACAAATGACCTTCCCATTTTCTTTCAGCTGCACAAAGTGTGGTTTTGTTGTGGTCTGGCTCGCTACCATATAGGCATTATTGTTCCCAGGGGCAGGTGTAATAGCACCTTCGCGATTCAGCAGCTCTTCAGATTTCCGTACAATTGCCTGCAACGTAGCTTCCGGGAGAGACGGGATATTGGCGCTGGATAGTTGTAATGATAAAGTACCATGACGAGAAACAGTTTCACTTGGGACAGGAACAGTGGCAGTAGCTTGCGACCCTTTCTCATTTGTCATACAGTGTACTTGCTTTATGGAACTTTTCCATGTGACGATCTCGTTGCTCGGTTCTCTTTTTGAACCACTCGGTCTCGGAAACATAAAAATTTCTGAACGGTTTTGCCAATTCATAAGGGCCTTTGTTAAAGATGGCTGATTCAATATCGTCTTTTTGCTGCTGCACCATAACACTCATCTCACGCACAAAATCTGATATTTCATTTTCTTTGAATTTTACTGCCCTTTTAATCATTGCGTTTGCCGATTCAGAGTCATTGGTATAATATGGGCGAGGAGGGTCACCTAGACCGGCGTTACGTCGAGCACTTTGGGACATGCATTGGTTTATTACGATGATCTGAAAAAATAAACAAATACATTAAAATCGTTTATTGCACCGACGCCCCTGCCACGAATATTCTAAGTGTGTGACAAGCGAATGACGTCTGAGTCTATGTGAGTTTTTCAAAAACTATCAAAATTGCACGAGCCCGAAGGATGAGTGAAATTTGAAGTCTATGAAAAAGTCACGAGTGTATGTGACGATAAACAATACTATTACTTACTAATATACATGAAAAAATTATGCAGTCACTCCTAAAAGATCCTAAATGTTTCTTATTCGGTCTTATTTTTGCTGGAGATTGCTGTATCTTATTGGCTATCTTTGTTACTGTTTTTCACTAAAGAGTCAATGAAATTTGCACTGTATTTCTTTGTTTGCGCTGCATTTCGAAAAACATGCACTGTTAGCTCTTAGACAATCAAAATTGAAAAATTTTTTCATATATATTAATAATGGTAATACAGTCTGTGCAGTACCTTCTCCAGGATGTAGTCATAGAATTTGGGTTTTTGACCCGGTGGAAGGTAACTGCTTTCTTCCTTGTTCCAATGTTCTTCACAACTGAATAGCTTATTTTTCAAATCATCCTCATTTTTAGCGTCTACAAGACCTGAAAATGTCAATGGACAGTATTTGTTATAGTTGCATTATGTTTTATGTAATATCAGGTATATATAATATGCTAGAATGCACTGTTTATTTGAAGGTGTACATTTAGTTCTGGGGCCGATTGTATAAAAAAGTGATTAAAGTTAACTATAGTTAAGTGGAAACGTCGTCCAATAAGAACCGCCTATTTGAGAGTTAATCACTATTTAACTACAAAATAGTGATTAAAAAAGTGATTAAGGGTTTTATACAACCGGCCCCTGATCACAGTAGAGTAATTTGGACTGACTAAATTTTGATGGATATAAATGTTCCCTAAAATAAAGAAATTGTACATACCGTTTTCCCACGTATCTCCGACTCGTCGTCCAAATATGTCGGCGAGAATTTTTTTTGCTGCGCCTCTGGGATATTCGACTTCTTCAGTTGCGCCTTGCAGTTTTCTCGAAAGTGAAGGAAACAACGAAGGTGGACAGCATATGGAAAACTGAACTTAAGTGCTCTGTAAAGCTCTTCTTCTCCATCTGTCCCATATGCCAAAATGTTTCTTGCTTCCTTATTTAATCCCACCAACTAGAAAAAACACAAGTAAAACTATGTAAGTTTCCGGTTTAATTACATTCTCCGTTAGACTCACAAATATATAGGTACTTTTACTTTGTCTTTGATTCTTGTACATAAGTACATTTATAAGTTTACGACATTACTAACTACCCTAACGACAACAAATATTATAATAGCAGAACCACGCAGACAACCTTTCAACAGTTTTAACATTTCAAATCTATTAAGCGTATGAGAGCAAGATTATTATAAGGGTACAGTCTGAAAAGTTGTTTGCAATACCCAACCACGGAAAGAAAACATTTTTGCAACGAAGTTGCATTTCAGTATGTTTTATGATATATTTTGTTGCAAATATTTCGTATTAATAAAATATTTTTTAAAAACTGCCGACCTCGAACAAGCACCGCTCTCAAATAAGCGCTGCATCTGTAAAGGCCGAGACACATCGGACGCGATTTAAGCATGACACTTGCTAGGAAGATGGCGTCCTGGAAGGCATGAAGTTTTGCATTTTATTGCGGCTTTTTTGGATCGAAATTTATGAATTAAACAATCAAGAGCATCATTTGTTGAGTGTTTCAAGTTGTTAAAAGCAATTAAAGTTGTAGAAAAAGTGTTGAAAACATTTTTGAAAGCAATGACGTACTACCAAATGACGAATAATCACGCAAGCGACACTTGCTAGCGCTAGGAAGATGGCGACCATGGGACAACTTTTTTACTGAAGTTACACATCTGTCCTTAATCTATGCCTCGACCCTAGCATTGAAAATTTAAAATGCGCCGCGGCGTTTAAACGAGTAAATATTGTATTCTTGAAATTACAGTACATGGTTAGTTAAAACTACCGCATCTGAAACTAGGATAAACTTACTTTAGAAAAAAAGTAGTTGTATGCATCAAATGTCTTGCTTTGGCTTAGCAACAGGGGCCCAATCATGATTGGGTGATGACCAGCTATTTTATTTACCACTTTAAGATTCCTGAAGGTAGTGACTGTAACATTGAAGCGACCTAGATTAAAAGTCGGATCCACTCCCAAAACGCTAAAATTCATTGGATCTGTGCAAAATGTGATAAGGTTTTGGATCTGCCAGTTGTATCCGAGGACACATCGCATCTCTGGGGCCCCAGTCACTTCTCTTATAAATGATTTTTCGTCATGTTGCAGTTGCTCTCTCTTACATTGTGTTAGCAAAATGACAAGCGAGTCTATGAAACCAATGCGCTGACCTTTTGTGGTGGATTTGACATACTTTGCTTGCTCTCTGTTTCGAGGCAAGTCACTTGGAGATGACGCATTCCGCACACCCCCCTTTTCCGTGAAAACTTTATGGTCTGACTTTGGGGTTTCCGTTGTCGACACTTCTTCTAATCGCGACTTCGTGCCATCTTTTGTCCTAATGTAACCAGATGCATTTAGTTTCTTTGCATTTCCATGAGATTCCGGTTCTACGCGATGTGGTTTTCCATCAAACAAATACTGTATGAATATGAGCGTCGGGTAATCTATTAAGAAAAGATTGTATATACAAATTTTAGTTTTAACAAAACGTTTTTAGTTTTGTTGTATACTGTAAACTGTTAATCTGCTACGATGGACTGGGACCAGAAATGCACAGAATATACTGTAATGTTGCTGACAAGATCAAGCCAATTCACTTTTTAGACTTCTACAATAAAAGAAATTCATTCTTCTTACCTTCTAAAAATGAAACATATTTCTTTAGGTCAGGGGATGATTTATTTTTAAAATATATCCTCTTTATAGCATGTTGAACGCTATCATCCGGAGCATTTTAAATGAACGGTTCTTCGTCATTTCTGGGTGTTGGCAAAACGTGACGTTGCACTCCGTTATTTTTCCACGACCCCATGTCATCGCATTTCCAATCTTGCTGACTTGCTAACTTGTTTGTGTCCAGTAGAAAACACACATCATCACATATTGACGTTGGAATACGGCTACACGTTTTGGCCAAATCTGGTTGCATCAACAGGGCAGGTAAAACTTCTTGCACGCTTTTAACTTTTGTCGCCCATTCGTACACTGGAAGATTGGGATCGTCGTTGTAGTTGTATACGATCCTTTGAATAAAAAATATGCAACTTGTGTCTACACGACATCATTTACCCTACTTAGTAGTTAGTATAAAGTACACGTATTTACTAAACTATGAATCTATTTATTTTATAAATTTAAATCCTACTTGTACTAAACCAGCTACGACATTGTTATTTGGTTTTGACGACATATTTAGTTTGGTTGTCCATTTTACATAGTATTTATATACTGCAACATGCACAAAACCTAACATAAAAATTTCCAAAACTTCCAACAATTCGCTGGACATTCGCATGCGATCATTGGGGAACTTTTGAGTTCGCTTGCTGCTTTTTTTCTGCGTGTAGGTAGTCAGACGGACGCACTGATAACTTATTTTACACTGTATGTTTCTAGACCTCATTGCAAAAACATGCAAAGAAGTAAAAAATTCAATCAACTTAGGTTAGTAAAACAAGAACTTACCTGTTAGAAATTGATATATCACAATCATCTGTACTGCTACTCTCGGATGCTTGCGTTTTACGAAACCTATATAACAATAAATATAACCATTGGCTTTCCATAGCAGGGCAAATGCAACAAGCACTCCACTCCAGCAGTAATCTCGTATTTAGAACCAGCTTCCTTACTCTTACAAACTCAGTAGAAATGAAATTTTTGACGAAAAGTTTTAAAACTGCTTTTCACGCATATTTTCTTGGAAAAATCAAAATAAAAGTTTCCAAAATAAAAGTTTCCAAAATATAAGTTGGCAAAATAACTTAGTAATCGTCCTCCTATTTGAAAAGCCGATATGATAACCTTGCCCTTTTGACTGGACACAGAAATCTCAAACTCATTAATAATTCATGAGTAAATTATCCATATTGTTTATTTTGCTCACATGAAAATACTGGATACCCAGTAAAGTATATTGATTCAGTCCTTGGACTGGATCAAAATTAATTCACTTCACTTAAAGTAGTGATTCATTCGTATAAGATGTCATTTCAAATCCTCCAATTCGGACTGGACTAGATTTCAAGTTCTAGCATTTTCATCCTGTCCTCGGCATCACCTCTGTCTTCAAACTGCGCGGAATCGAAATCTAGTCCAATCCTCATAGTCGTTTGTGAAATATTATATAAAAGGCCATATAGCATACCCAATAAAATAACCAATGAGTCTCGGCATTCACTGCCAAAAACAAATATAGTTAAGAAGATATCGATTTCAAAATATAAAATAGTTTTGGTACAGATTTGAATTATTGTAGCTCGGAAGCGCATTTGTGAATGACAGCGTATATAACATGAATTGTATGGCACTACAACGGACTTAAAACGTCTAAAACAGTAGAGGAAATATTTAAACTAACTTACGCTTTACGTTTTGGAGGATCAATTTCAAAATCAGAACTGTCGTCATTGGAGTCGTCAGAACTTATACGAATAACCTAAGAAATGTTAACAAGCATTTGAATAAACACGCAAAATAACGTTACGTCAATGTTATAATATTATGAATTATTAACATCATCAGGATTTTGGGCATTTACAGCCTATCTAATTGATTTTAGACTGGTTTTATAGAGGTAAACGTCGAGTGTGAAAACCTGCAAGTCCAACACCTTAACCAACTGAGTTAGAGAGACCCGTTACAGCTCAGTTGGAGTATAGTTTAGAGCACTGCACCGGAATCGCTGAGGATCTATAGTTGAACATTTTGCAACAAAATATCTAATAAGGTACGACCTTGAAATTTGTCATCTACATGTATTGATATCACAAATCATCCGACACTTATACATAAAGTATTTAATTTATAATTTCGCAGTTGTAAAGATGATCACGTAGGAATAAATAACTGCTCTAAAATAACTAGTGTGTTCAGATTCGGAAGAGCGCGGTACCTAGTCTTTATTGAATTTTCTTACCTCTTCCAGTTTTCTTTTAGATACTTTTGGAATCGATCCCAGTGGAGCTTTTGCTTCTTCGAAACCGCTTGTGGAGTGTGGAGGATCAACATTGTCGTTGTTATATTGCGTTTTTGACTGGCGATACAGTTCTTCGTTCATCGTTTCATGTACGACATATCGACAGTCTATCTCTATGTCGCTTTGGTCTCTTGTTTGTGATGTCCAATTAAGTTCTACGTGAGTCGTTACTTCCTCGTCATGAATTGTAAATTCCGGAGTGTTGATCAACTTAAGTCGTTCGTTGTCGCTTGGATTATCGGTTTGGGGAAGTTTGTCTATTCTTTCATCTACTCTCATTTGTTGTTGTTCGGAGGCTTTCTGTGAATGGTGCAGCAGTGAAAGACATTCTTGATCAGTGCTATTGATTTAGTGTAAGAAAAAAAAAATAAAAATTAGCATTACGAAACTCCAAAGGAAACCCGAATGTACGATACGATTGATCATATACGATTGTCGTTCTGGCGTAAAAAAACAACTCTGCATGCCCATTGTCAGTTTTGAAAGTTTGGGTTTATTCGATAACATACACCAGGATAAGATTTGTATACGACTAATCGTTTCGTGTAAATGGCCCTGATTATGCATGTTTTGAATGGAACTCACCTTTTTAAATTGTGTTTAATCATCATTGATAATGATTGTGGGCCACTCAGTTTGGATGACGCTAGTCGGTTCCATAACCACTTGCAGCATTCTTCGGCAGAATTTTCATTTGCACCACTAAATCGTCTTAAAAGAGCAGTGCAGCGTCCTCCCGCTGTAACTGGAACTTCATGTGTGTCAAGAACAAACATGTCTGAGTTATAGGAGCCAATAAGAAAAATGAATTTCTCACAAGTGAAAAATCCAAATGAAGGACATTGAGATGACACTGACGTCATCGCTTTCAGCAATCTCTCTTTTCCAATATCAGACAATGCACCGTCTTTGTACGGGAGTTCTTCAGTAAAAGCATAACGGTCAGGAAGACAGTTGTTGATTTTCAACAGCGTGTAAGCTTCCATAACATCATAATATTGATACACATCCCGGAATCTGTTGAAAACGTGTGGTTCAGTGACAATGATGCTCTCTGCCATGGTAACTATGTCGTCCCAAGACATCTCGTTTGCTTCGTGCAGCTCATGTGCTGTCAGGACAGTGAGAAACGCGCAAGCATTGGTAGCATCATCTTGAATATCTTGGTCGCCGACGTTCTCTTGTTCTTTTTGTAGTTCTTGGTCCACGTTGCTGATAGCAGTAGCTTGACTGACCTTTAGGTGGACTTCCATAGAATTTCTATGCAGCGAGCTGGTAATTGTTGTCGATTTTCTTTCTGCTTGAACCAGTTTGAAAACTTCCGTCATAGATGGCCGTGACGATGGAGTAATTGTAGCACAAGTTTCGTAAATTTTTTTCAGACCGGCCCATTCTTCTTTTTGTCGCAGTGCATATTTAGGTTGCGCCACAGGCATTACGTTTTCTTTGGCAAACCTTTGCAACAAATGTAACGGCGCGTCTCCTGCACAGCAATTCTCCAAATTTTTCTCGTATGGGTGCTTTAATCCAGGGTTGATTATATTGAATACCACCATGCCGTAGGCCCATATGTCAGCATTTATCATATCGGTAAGTGAGGCTTAGGATAGGATAAAACTTTATTTGACTACGCTGGCCACTTCAACCATAGCTGCTTTCCAAGTGGGGCGTAGATAAATGTTACAAAAATATATAAAGTACAAAATCACTAAGAAAATTAAGAACTACGAATACAAATACATATTACAAAACAAATGGTATACAAAACTCAAATAGCTAATTCGTCAGACTAACAGAGGAAATATTTCTATTGAAAGAATTTAAAGATTCGCTGTTTCTTACTTGTTCAGGAATGCTATTCCAGATTTTAACCCCACTATATCGAAAACATTTTCTGCCATACTCAGTATTTGGTCGTGGCAGAAAGAGAGACGAATTTGAACCTCGTAAATTATAACTGTGGATATGGTTAGAATTCTGGAACATTGATGAGAACCTCGATGGTGCCAGATTATTGACAACCTTAAACATGAGACGGGCCATATTATGTTTTCGCCTTTCTTCCAAGCTTATCCACCCTAATTGATCGAGGGCCAGTTGAGATTGCCCAGGCTCATCTTTAAAGTTCATTATAATTCTAGCACATCTGTTGTGAAGTTTTTGTAGTCGTTCAGACTGGCCTCTACTAATGGAATTCCAAACTTCACAACAGTAGTCGAAATGGGGTTGGACATTACCATAATAGACCGACTTCAAAGTATCAGAATTAGTGAAATCCTTTATCTTTTTCATGGCACTTATTCCAGAAGATATTTTTTTAGAAATTTGTTCAATATGACTGTCCCAAGTTAAAAATTGATCAATTTTGACTCCAAGAGTTTTTGTAACTTGAACCCCTTTAATTGGTTCATCTCCAATAAAAACACGCGGTTGTTCTTCTAACGTGTTAATATTGTGGCGTGATCCAATCAAAAGATATTCCGTTTTGACAAGGTTAAGAGAGAGCCTGTTCGATAGAAGCCATTCTCTGATATTATTGAGATCGACATTAACGGCCACCTCCGCTTCCTTAATTGATTTACCGGACACTGTAATGTTAGTATCGTCGGCGAACATACGTGCTGTAGAGTGTTGTAAACAATTCGGCAAATCATTGATATAAATTAAAAACAGAAGTGGACCCAAAATTGAACCCTGAGGAACGCCATATTTTAGATATTTTAGTGTGGAAAGTTCCCCATTTACTTGACATTTCTGAGATCGATCTGATAAGTACGATTTGAGAAGCATAAGAGGCGTGTTCTTAATACCATATAACTCTAGTTTAGCCAGTAAAATGTCGTGGTTTACCGTGTCAAATGCTTTTTTTAAATCGAGAAAAACGGCAAGATTATACAAACCACGATCCATATTAACATACCACTCATCAGTACAATCAAGCAAAGCAGTGGACGTGGAATGAAAGCGCCTGAACCCAAACTGCTGTTCAGACAATAAATTATTGGTAGTAAAATATTCGTATAACTGTTCATACAAGATCTTTTCAAATATTTTGCTGATGACCGGCAAAATTGATATTGGCCTATAATTGTCTAAAACGGAGCGTGAACCCTTCTTATGAAGCGGTATAACTCTAGCACTTTTCCATTCAGAGGGGAAAATTCCCATCCCAATAGCAGAGTTAAACAAATTGGTCAAAGATGGTGTAATTACAGAAGCAGATTTTTTTAGAATTTTAGCCGGTATTTTGTCACATCCAGTAGATTTAGAAATAGACAAATTGTTAAGTAGCCTAAAAACCTGTGATTCGTTAACAGGATGCAAAGTAAATTCCAAACTAGTATTTAGATTATCACTCATATGCCTGCCAAAATTTAAATTTTGAGTGTGTTCAGAGCAGGAGTCTCCAATTTTACCACCAATACTTGTAAAATAGTCATTAAGACAATTAGCCATTCTCATAGGAGAAGTAATTGTATCATTTCCTAGCTTTAATTCGTTAATCATTGTGTCCTTTTTTCTCCCAAGGATATCATTAATCGTCCTCCAAGCCTGTTTTGGATTGTTTTGATGTTTGTCAAATTTGCTTTTGTAGTAAACTTTCTTAGCTTCACGCATTGCAATGTTGACATTATTCCTATAATGTTTATACTGGCTCCAATCTTCACTTAACTCCGACAAAATTGCTTTTCTTTTCAAACGGTCCCTTTCAAACATTTTGTTTCTGATATTCCTAGAAATCCATGCCACAGATGTTTTATTTCGTACCCGTCTTTCCCTAACCGGGGCATGTTTATCAAGAACAGTAATAAAAAGATTTTTCCAACATTCCCATTTATTATCAATATCAGTTTCTCTGTCAACTAAATACCATGGTAAGTTTATAAGGTCGACTTTGAAATTCTCAACATTGAAATGCTTGAAGCTTCGAAATTCGACTTTTTTGCTAGCATGAGGTTTAAGATATGAATTAATTTTTCTTACTACATAAATTAAACTATGATCACTCACTCCCATATGAATTACATCATGAAATGCAATTCGCTCAGGACAGGAGGTAATACAAACGTCTAGTAACGTAGAAGACGATTCCGTAATCCTTGTAGGCTTATCGATTACTTGTGTAAGTTGATAAAGTTGCATGATAGAATGTAAGTGTTTAGCAGAAGAGTTGGACTGGTCTAACAGATTACAGTTTAGATCTCCTAATAAGTAAATTTCCTTGTTCTCGTTATCGACATTCTTAAGCAAAGATTCAATTTGTGAGAAAGATTCGACGGTTGCTGACGGCGGACGATAAATAGTAGAAACGATAAAGGAACGAGAGTTGGGCCGGTTAATTTCCAGACATACTGTCTCTAAATTTTCCGGCACTAAATCACCACGATTTAAATATGATATCGTCCGCCTAATGTAAAAACAGACACCGCCACCGTGTTTGTCCCTATCCATGCGAACTATATCATATCCGTCAATATTAACAAATTCACTTGGAATATCAGGGTGAAGTCTTGTTTCATTGAGTGCAAGAATATCAACAGTCTGATTTTCTAACAATAAGCGAATTTCATCAATGTGTTTCGACAAACTGACAATATTCAGTAATGCCATCTTGAAACCCCTAAGATATGGTAACCTATTCGAATACAACATTTCCTCCGAGTTAGTCTGACGGATGTCGCGTCAATTTAAAAAATCCATATAGTTTCTTTGCATTATCGTGCTACCTTTGCGGTTCAAGTGCAAACCTCCACGATTTAAACAATCTAAATCTATGTTAGTATGATTAATAAAGTCAACATTATTATCTGAGCAGAATGAATTAAGTAGATTGTTTGTTTGATTAACTTTTGTTTGAATTAGATGACCATCTTTTCTGATGGTAAGAGCCGAGATGGCTACTTTGATATGTGCAGATTTTTCTCGCACTTGACTAACTAATTTCACAATACCTTCTACCAACTGGTCGGGAGATTTCTCTGACTTAATGTCATTTGTACCAACGTGGAGAATTATTTGATGTGGGTTGCGACGAAGCAATGGTTTCAAATAGTCTTGCATATCATTGACTTTGCTTCCTGAGAAAGATTTTACGGCAACAGTTCTGTCGGTATTAGACATCTCCCAGCCATGCACATTCTGAACAATAGAGTCCCCGGCAATAAAGACTAATTTCTTTTTGCCATCTTTTGCATTGTGCTGATTACTTGATCCATTAGCATGCCGCTTTTGTTGATGCTTAGTTGACTTGTTGGCAGGTCTGCTATTTGAGGACTCATTGTCTGCGATCGATCGTTGGGATTCTCGTTGCGAAGTAGCTATAGAGCTGGGGTCATCGACTTTGCTTCTATCGTCGTCATAATCATAAATGTTGGTTTCATTGCCGCCCGTATCACTCAGGACATCAACCGCGTTTCTCGTAACAACTTCACTATCTTGACTACGAGTAGACAAATGCTGATCTTTATTCATGCTTCTGCACTGCGTTTTCCAGGTCCCATGAGAATTTTGATCGTGGATACTTTGGTCTAGATTCACCAACTTAAGGACTGTGACTAAAGACTGTTTTTCATTTTCAGATTCTTTAAGTTTGGTGTTTAAATCGGATACTATGAAGGACAAGTTAGCGACCTTTTGCAGCAGGGATTTGTTTTCATCCTTTAATTCTCGATTTTCGTGGAGGAGCGACTCGTTAGCATACGCCTTCCGTTTGTTTTGTATACTAGATACTTCTTGCGTTAACGCACTGATTTTGATGTTAAAGTCCATTTCCAAATCCTTTATTTTCTCTACAAGTTCACTGCAGATTAAACTTTGATTTGGTTGCGTTGATAAGTCAATTACTTGAGAGCTTGAATTGAGTTTACGAGCTGAGAAGTCTTCGCCTTCAATAATGATTGACCTTTCGACTTCATTATGTATGCCAATGTCGAGGTTGTTTTTGTCGATCAACGATATAGCATCATTTTCATCAGACTCTGTCCTAGCAATTGCTCGCAATTTGTCCTTCAGCTGTTCACAATCAATTCCTTTAATAGTAAGCGAGGACGTATTCGCATACCATCTAATTTTGACCGCTTCGTTCTCGAAAAGCTTTGAGTTGCCTCCTGGCGACGACCACTTTGTCTGGGTTTGTAGTTGCTCGTTGATAAATTCTTGAAGATCCTCAAATTTACCATGCCACTTAAAATTACCCTTCGTTGAGATCGAAAGAGCGGATTGAATTGCAGCGCTTTCAGTCGCCATTAATGGTTATAACTATAAGGTCTTTGACAAGAAGTTCAGGTGCCATGAAAACAGGAGTGCCTATAAATTTGTAAAAAAATATTGAAGCATATGATTTCGTTGAGTTTAATTATTCACCGCTAAGGTGAATAAATTTGTCGTCTACTGTTCTGAAACGAATTTACAACTAAAATCAGAAGATTGAGTCTAGTTGATGTTTGGAGGGGCGTTTGGAGGGACAACAAGTTATAGTGAGCGACCTAAATATATATTAAAAGATGCCTTATCATAGTTGTTGCGTTTCATGCTGCACAAATACTCCTCTGCTCGACTGGAAAATGGCTAATGCAAAGCAGCTAAAATTACAATCTCGAGTTCTCAGAGCATTAATTGAAAACATACAAATTGCTCCGTCAGTACTAGTTTCAAGCTTAATTTTCCAAAAATCTTTTTCGTGAAAAGAATATATACCAAATGGAACAATAGAGTTCACATGAGTTATATCTTACGACCTTTCAATTATTAATCAATTAATTTAATGCTTTTTCGTTGGATATAAAAAATATATCTATTTACGGAATTCAATACTTTAATAAAATAAGTGTTCCATTTATTTTATTCGGACAATGGATTGAATGCACTGCATGTAATGTAGAGCCTTATACTGCTTTGCACTACTGTATGTTTTAAACTCGAAATTGGGGGGGGGGGCAAAGCGAACGCCGAAGGCGTGATAGTTCCTAGTGGGGTACGAGGGGCATACACCACCACAAATATTTTACTGAAAATCTGGTGTCCCTGCAATGCGATTTCAAGCATTTTTTGGGATGAAATCTTGCAGAATTCCGAAATTTATATTAATGTAGATCGAGGACATGAATTTTCCCCGACATTTCTCTTCGGAATTAAATAAGTTGGAAATGTCACCTTGAAAAACAGGAGAAAGGTTAGTGTCACCTTCGTTCCCCTCTGTGATGTTGGGGGGAGGGGGGGGGGGGGGGGGGAAAAAC